ATGATCCTTAATCAACGCCTTGATTTAGTGAGAGAGAGATTAGATATCCTCTTTCAATTAGCCCAATTGAGATGTGAGAGAAAACTGGGTACACTTTACATCACCAGTGTACAGTATAAAAACTTTACTCGTGTAACTAATCTGTCCAGAAAATTGTTTCAGTATCTTACAGGAAACTGCTCAGAAAACTTCAGTGAGACACTCAGAAAATTGAGAGCAGCTGTGGTGAACATCAACTCGACGCACGTGGATCTGTCCCTGACTGAGGGACTGTCCTCCTAGAATTCTTCAGCCTTCTTCTTTTCTTTTTCTTCCCTTTTATAAGTGGGTGGGAGTAGGCCTGTTTGGTATACCCTAAGTTGTGGATTAGTATTCATCCTTGGTTGGTTGCAAACTCAGAGCTCAACAAAATCTTGACAAGGCTATTTTTGCACAGGCGCTTCCAAAGTACTAGGGGCTTCCCCTGCAGTGTGGTTATCACTGCCTCAATTATAAGCAGTCTCCCCCTCACGAGTGGTGGTGCTAAATGTTAGGCCATCAGCGTTGCACCCCAGAAGATTTGCCCATTACACTGGGTCAGTGAGGAGTCTTGGCCTGGTTGATTCTTGTCTGTAGCTGTGGTACCTGAATTTTGAGACAAACAGCCCTTGCACCCCTAGGAGATGACTCCATTGCACAGGGATGGGTGTTTGCTTCTCTTTCTGTTCCCCTTAGCCCTTGCACCCGGAGGACTTGTTTCCATTGCACCTGGTAGGGTAAGGGAGACGGTCTTGAACTGTTGGTTCTTGAACGCTTATTCCCCCAAGATGGAATTCGCTCGATCGACCATGGGTTTGAGTCATAACCGGTACCACACTAGACAGGCCAAGAACAGCCAGTTAGATAACTCCATCCTTTTGTCTCCAGGCCGGCTGCCAATTGATCCCAACGACGGGAATAAGCTGATCTCATATGCCAGAGGTACACCACGAATGGTGATTTTACCCGGTGACAGGCATTACGAGTGACCACTACCTGGGGCGCACATTCTGAGAATGCCAGGTGTGGGTGCGTGACCCTCGTAGCCTAGCCAGAGAGCTCACCATTCTTTGGTGCTGGCTGTGGAGAATTGTCAGTCAGCCTAGACACGGGACATTGGCCAGTGCCTGTTTAACAAATCTAAAAAGAAATAGCCAGCAGACAGATTCCTCAGCCGCTGCACCCTAGGGCTTCTGGTATATGCACCCTGTAAAGCCTCAAACATTTGAGCACCACCCTCTGAGAGACTCAGACCCGCCGTGAGACCCCCAAATATGGGAGTTACGTAACCTTCCCAGGGACCCCTACCACCCTCTGTTTTTTAAAACAAAAAAGGGGCAGATGTTGGGAGCCGCGGCAGGTGCTGGCAAAGTCCGCCATCGCTAGGTGGCGCTGTCAGCCATAATTCTTCCTAGTAAACAAATAAAGTGAGCATGTGCCATGTAAAGCCCACCAAGCTAAGCCCATCCCACGGCGTTTGGCGCGCTACGAGTTTGCGGCCAATCAGAGGTGATTACGCCGCTCTAGGGTATATAAGGACTTTTCCCAGGGCTGGGGGTCGTCTTCGACCACCATTTTGGTTTCTGGAAATAAACGTGTTTCTACGGAAGGATTCTGGTGTGTGTGTGTGTGTGTGTGTGTGTGTATGGTTTCGCCGGCGAGACGACTACACGCGCGCGCCCCGCACATGAAGGTATAAAGACAGTGCAGAGACTGTTGCAACAGTCCAAAAAATGTCTGATGCAACTTGAGACCCATCACATGTGAAAGAATGAACCTCTGACACTGTTAATGATAAATAGCAATCTTGCACACAAAAGCCTAACGTAACTTTCTCTTCAGCAGAGAATGGATGCTGAGGTACACCTCAAATCAAACACCAGGCAAAACTTAGAGAGTCTTGTAGGAAAGATAGATAAAGTACTGAGGATGCCTGAAGGTCTAAGGACACAAAAGAAGACATAGTGTCAACTAACTTGTGTCCATGGAGGATCACAGAGACTGTGCAACCAAACAATGATCATACAGGACTGCAATGTGGCTGCCTACATACTAGTAGCAAGTGTTCTGCTTGGTCATCATATGGTAACTATAACAAAGTGAGTGAGTGTCTAAGTTGCCTGCCCTTCAATCACTTTTCTCCACCATGGACTCCATGGATGAGCATCAGTGGGAGAGAATGTGTATTTTCCCTCTGCAAATAGATGCTTCAGTGTATGGTGAAGTGTGCTCTTATTCTCTAAGGAACAGTCATTGGAGAAAAGGAGAGGGAAATAAAAGAGGAGATTGTGATGAAAGGACAGAGGGGTCTTTGAATAGAATGTAAAGTGAAGGGAAATAAAAAAAATACCAAGAGCAAGGGAAGACAACATAGAAAGAAATTGGAGAGTGGAGAAATACACAAATAGTAATAAGGTTAATATGAACAGAAACAAAACAATGCCTGTGAACTAAAATGGCAAACCCACACTGAATATGGGTGTGACGCTCCCCTCCTGGACTTTTGTTTGAAAAAGAACATAGTGAAATTTCCAGGAGTATAGACAAACAGTAGATTGTTGACCCAACAATCACATGGAAAGAACATACTCAAGGCTGCTATCCAAGGTCACTATCTTACATAATCTGATGCTCAAGAAACAGAACCCAAGAGAAACCTTTCAATCAATCCACTTAACTTGGAAGAGCAGCAAATGCAGCACAGCCACATCGAATGCCAAATCTCTGAAACTCATCTCTTTATAAGGAAAGGAGGAAATCCAGAAAACCAGAGAAGTGGAGGAGGCTGAAGCAGGAGCTCATCTGAACTGAAGGCCTATAAAATAAGCTTTTTGAGGTAAGAATAAAGAGCATGACTTGGTAAATTTCATGGTAAGATGATAGTCATTTCAATTCTAGGAATACTATGGCTAGAGACACATCAGAGCTTCAGTCTTTGAAGTTTACGTGAAAGTTATGGGACTACCCAGAAATTTTTACAAATAAACCTAGTCAAGTATGAAGTAATATATAGCAATCCACCACACTGATGGCTAGAAAACTCAATCTACGTGCAGTTCTTCATTTGTAAATGATAATAGCGAAAGATTCATTAAAGTGTCAGAAGAAACACAAGCCTTACTTGCAAATTCACTATTTAATGGTTCACCAAGTAGAGGAGTGAATGTCTTTTTATTTATTTATTTATTTATTTATTTATTTATTTATTTAATGTATGTGAATGCACAGTCATTCTCTTCAGACACACCAGAAGAGGGCACCAGAGCCCATTACAGATAGTTGTGAGCCACCATGTGGTTGTTGGGAATTGAACTCAATACCTTTGGAAAAGCAGTCCTTGCTCTTAACCGCTGAACCATTCCTCCAGCCCTCAGAAGTAATTGTCTTACTCTCCAAGATAAAGGCAATGAGTGTATGATGATTGAGCATTACCAGAATGTTTTGTTGGTCATTTGTAGTTCTTTGTATGTATGAAGTACAAGGGATAAGATAATATTACAGGTATGTATGGAGAGGTTCTGACTCAAATTTTGCTATAAATTTGAAAGAAAAATTAGGCATGTAATTGAAAGGGAGTATCATGAAGTATATGGAAGTATTTTAATAGAGAAAAAGGGTAAATGGTGTTCAAAATGCAAATTTTAATAGATGATTGATGATAATGTCTCTGAATTGTTGTTTAGCCAGATAACAATTAGAAGGAAAAAAACATGACTTTAAAATGTTAATATGAAGTTTCACTGTATACACAGTGTATACAATGTAAAGTACCACCCGTTCAATTTACAATAAAAAAACCCCACTATTTCTATGAGTTCCATCAGGAAGTCTAATGTATCTCCATTAGAACCTTTTATCAGCATCTAAAGGAATAGAATTTGCCAAGTACTGAGATTAAGTACTATGAAATTGATCAAGTGTGTTTGAAATATAAGAAAACTATGAAATTTCCTGTCTGTCAAAGCATGTATTGAATGACATCACTTAGATTAAATTTATTATTCATTAATTATATATACATTTTCTACTGAAGGAACAAAGTGAAATTTGATTTGAGTAATAAAAACAATAGCATAATTTACAAAATTTTTTCAATGTGTTCAAAATATTGTATGTTTCTGTCTTTATAATCATGACCCTGACAAATTTATCTATTATCTATCTGTTTATAGGATTCTATAAACAGATAATAGTAAATCAAAAGATGATACACAAGAAAAGCAACTTTTAACAATTTGGAATTGTTTTGGTTTCTCAAATTTCACTTTCAATGACTGAAGAATAGAAATGTTAAAAAAGAAACTTGGAAATCTTCTCCCTTTGCAAATACACAGGTGAGGCATCAGTAAAGCCTTTTGGCTTAAGTTTCAGTACTTTTGGAGGCAAGATGGGCACAATAAACATACAGTGACCCTTTTGGTATCTCTTTCCTCTTTATATTGTTAAAGTATTCATCACAAATAGACGCTCAGAATAACTTCTATCAATATTTTGGTTTTCTTCTTTGTCTCATACACTGCTTTCTGTGATTATGCTATCTTTTCTGCTTAGTTTCAGCCATGGCTTCATTCCGAGTGATGAGTTTTCTCATAATTTTGCTGTTAACATTAATGGTCACTGAAGGAAGGGTAAGTTTAAAATGGAGAATCATTTTGGATATAAAAGCTGATTGAGAGTTCTAACAGCCAAAATTATCCACTAACATCTATAGCATAAGGAATCTGCCTCAATCTCAAGAGATAAATAAGCCCTATTTTGCTGTGTAGCATAGAGATAATTTTAAATAGGATTGGTGATATAATGTTCATTAAATATAAACTTTGTTAAAATGGTATATTTTTTAAATTATTCTCAGTAATTTTTAAGATTTTTACTCCTAATTAATACTTGACTGATTGTCATTATAAATACTTAAAATACAGCCCCTGAGCTGGTGTAGCCACCCTCATACCTGTTCAACTCTTCCTTCCTTTGCTGGCACCATGGCTGATCAGCTGACTGAAGAACAGACTGCTGAATTCAAGGAAGCTTACTCCATATTCAATAAAGATGATGACACTACCCTCACAACAAAGGAACTGGGAACTGTCATGCGGTCACTGGATCAGAACCTAACAGAAACTGAACTGCAGGATCTGATCAACGAAGTGGATGGTGACAGGAATGGCACCATTGACTTCCAAGAGTTCTTGACTATGGTGGCTAGAAAAATGAAAGACACAGATAGTGAAGAAGAAATCCGTGAAGCATTCCGAGTCTTTGACAAGGATGGAAATGGTTACCTGAGTGCAGCAGAACTGAACCATGTCATGACAAACTTTGGAGAGAAGCTAACAGATAAAGAAGTAGATGAAATGATCACAGAAGCAAATATTTATGGGGACTGACAAGTCAACTATGAAGAATATATACAGATGATGACTGCCAAATGAAGACCTACTTTCAACTACTTTTCTCTCTCTAGAATAATCAAATTGAAATCTTTTACTTACCTCTTACAAAAAAAAAAAGAAAGAAAAAAGTTCATTTCTTCATTCTGTTTGTATCTAGCAAAACTGAATGTCAAAAGTACCTTCTGTCCACACACAAAATCTGCATGTATTGGTTGGTGGTTCTGCCCCCTAAAGATCAAGCCCCCTACAACAGTTTTACAGTATAAATACTCATGCTACCTTATAAGGAAGCATTTAGTGGACTCCTTAAAGTTCCATTTGCTAATTATTAATACACTGGTTGGGCTGGCCGGTTTCTTATGCTTGCAGCTTGATGACTGAGCACAGTCAGGCATTTGTATTAAAACCAAAAAACGGAAAAAAAAAACAAATTCAAAATCTCAGATGCCTTCTAGTTCAATCTGCTGAGATAAATTGTCAGCAGACAGTTTACTGCAAGCAAACTTTTAAAACTGGTTTACCTCAGGATGATGTGCAGAAAATGAGTGAAGGCTAAACACTGAGACACAGCCCTACAAGTAGGACAGTCCTCTTGAAGTGCCCCAATCCCATGGTGATAGTGACACACTGTTGGCAAGCCCGAGTAAGATGGCTCACTGCTGTACACATGCACTGCAGTGACGTGAACCACAAGGCTGTCATCAAATCATACACATTTTATTGGAAATGTTTACTAAGGGAGCATCTTTGGACTCTCTGTTCTAAAACCTTGTGAACCATGACCCGGAGCCAGCAGAGTAGGCTGTGTCTGTGGACTTGAGCACACCATCAACATTGCTGTTCAGGAAATTACAATTTACGTTCATTCCAAGTTGTAAATGCCAGTCTTTTATTTCTTTTCCGATAAAAAGACCATTAACTTAAAAGTGGTGTTAAATGCTTTGTAAAGTTGAGATTGCAAGGGGACAAGGCCAAGGCCGTTGGAGGGGAGGTCAGTATACATAGAAACACCCACCATCCGGTGCAAGCTGGATTTCCTGCCATGTTCTCTAGCATCAACTCCTGAAACCAGACAGATACGGAGTTCTTTGACATCTATGAGCACATAAGTCTAGTTGTTTTTTGTATGTGTGCAAATCATGGTCTGTTGATGTTCCGAGTAGAACCCTATTGAGGGTAGGCCTCTCCAGCATGCAGTTAGGATGTCTCAGCTGTGCTGTGGCTGACCTATTGTAACTATATGAGGCCATCTGTGCAGAAGACATGATTTAGTGTGTCTGTAATCCTATACTCACTGTGTATGGTGGAAGCAGGCTGCTCAAAGACACTACCTTTAATTCAGCTTGTAATTTATGGTAATACTTAATTTTAGCATTTATACTTTATTATTACTATTATTATTATTGTTATTATTATTATTATTTAAGTCAACTGCTTTTTTTCCCTGTAAGTAGAGTTAATTCTTAACACTCTGGCTTAAAAGCAAAGAAACAAAACAATATATCACAAAGAATTTCCTGTCTAATTACAGACCTGTAACCAAAACGTAGACATGCTGGTACTGGGCCTTTCCAAGGCACTGGTCTGTTTAAAAGCCCCCGTTAGATGTGTGTTGCATTTAAAACAACGGCCTTGTACATTTTTCAGGGTGTTATCTGGTTGTATCTGATTAGCAAGGGGCTTTGGCTTCCAAATTCGGGGGTGGCAGGGAACTGGCAGGCTTCTGTTCTGGCAAGGCGATGAGAAGGTCTTGGCAACCACATGGGTGCACCCGGAGCTAACCTGTAGACCCCTGGTTGCTCGCTTTCCTGCTCCCTATCTTTCTGGCATTTTGTAGCTGCTTAGAATTTTTTTTTCTGCCAGAGGAATGGGTCAGAGCCATAGAGAGGAAGACACTGCCCGAGTGCTTCTGCTCATCCTTGGACTGGGTAGTTGGCAGACATTTTGGTGTGCTAGCTGTAAGTTGACTTTAGTATCTGAATCATTAGGTTTTCCCTTCTAGTAGAGAAGACTGAGGGTTACAGGTGTGAGGAAGTGAATGAATGGCACTGGACCTGTCCCATAAGAGGATTAAATCCCCAATCAATGACCAAGTCTCAGGCTTGTCTGTAACCTCTTGGTAGTTTCAAAGGGGGTTGGAGGTGACTTTTTAAAAATTTACCTCCTATCTTTTACATTTTACCAAGTCTGTAGAAGCTGGGTAGACAATATTTTAGCAGCCCCAGAGCCTGTCTTAAAAAATCACCTTCGACACAGGATTTTTTTTTTAATTTTTTTATTGGATGTTCCATTTACATTTCATACGTTGTCCCCTTACTCAATCCCCCACCCACCCAGGAACCCCCCATCCCCTCACCCCTCCTCCCTCTTCTCTGTGGATGTAATCCCTACCTATTCCCCCACTCCCACCTCCCCACCCTCAAAATTCCCACCCCCTGGGGCATCCAGCCTTCATGACATCAAGGATCTCTTCTTCCACCTACGCCCAGCAGGGCCCTCCACTCTTACTTACTCAGCTGAAGCCCTGGATCCCTCCCTAATTGCTCCCAGGCTGGTGGTTTAGACCCTGGGAGTTGTCGTTGGTTGGTATTGTTGCTCTCCTCATGGTGCTGCAAACCCTTTCAGCTCCTTCAGTCTTCACTCCAACTCCTCCATTGAGAACCCCATTATCAGTTCAATGGCTAGTTGTGAGCATCTGTCTCTGAATATGTCAGACTCTTGAAGACCTCTGAGGAGACATCCATATCAGGCTCTTATCAGCATGCACTTCCTGACTTCCACATCAGCATCTACTTTTGGTGACTGCACATGGGATAGATGCTCAGGTGGAGTGGTCTTCAGACGGCCCCTCCTTCAGTTTCTGTCCCTCACTTTGTCTCCATATTTGCTCCCTTCAGTATTTTGTTGCTCCTTCTAAGAAGGACCGAATCACCCCCACTTGGTCTTCCTTCTTTATGAGCTTCATGTGGCCAATCCTGCTTGGGATCCAGAAACCCTAACCCCCAGGGAACATGAAGCTGGGGTTTGGAACTGTAGAAGGCAGAGTCCCACTACCTCCTCAGCCTTATGGCATCCTGGGGAACAACCAGCCAAGGGCTTGATGTTGGCAGTCTGAGTTCGGGAGGTAGAGTGGGGTGTCAAGGCAGTACCCCTAAAGTAGTCAGCACACTCTGTAAACTGTCACTCACTTGTAACTCCTCTCTCTATATATATATATATGTATATGTATGTGTATGTGTATGTGTATGTGTATGTGTATGTGTATGTATATGTATGTAAATGTATATGTATGTATATATATATGAAGTGACTAGTTAAGTTAACTGACATTCTGCATCCTGCTTTAGCCTGAGACTTTCCCTAAGAAACTGCTGAGTCCTTGGCACACCTCTACACAGTGTGTTTTCTGTCTGTTGGGGAGAGTTGTTGAGCAAGGTAAACATCCTGATAATTCAGATGGGCTTTAATGTACTGTTGCCAGGGAAGGCTTTTTCGCATGTTTTGACAAATCTTTGCACACTTTAACTGCTGTAATTTAAGCAACTTAAACACATTGAAGATGAGCTATTGTGTATATTTTTATATTCTCTTTATAAGTGCGTGTCCAACTTGTAACCATATTGTAAGGAATGGCTGTCCAGTAGGCCTAGTGTTACTGTCACATAAGAGGGATATCATCTATCATTCACCCCTCAGCATCCTAGCAACTTCTTCTTGAATGAAGACTGGAAATTTGGTCAAGTCAGCTCTTAGCTCAGTTATCTTAACCATTTGAATGATTTATTTTGTGTCTTATGTATATTTCTCTTTGGCAACGACAAGAGTTCAACTGATGTGTTTCAACTGACACACCCAGCTGGCAGTCACCTACTTTTTTTCTTTGTCAATACCCTTTGAAGTTGTCCAGTAGAAGACATATTATTTGCTGTCTATCCCTTTGAGTAAGACATCAGGGATGTGCTAAAGGAGTAAGGAAGTACTCCCCTTTTGGGTTGTCCCTAGATTTAAACACAGATTGAATTTGGGTGAAAGGAGATGTGTACACCATGGAGGTCTAGAATTAGTCTTGAGCTCACAGCCTCTTTTTATTCTATTTATTCTGTACAAATAAAGTGGGATACATTTATGTTTCTTATTGTAAATATTTATAATAATTTATCTCTATCTCAGGTTTTGAAACAGATACTGGAAGGACTCACCATATATACTGATGAAGTGTTTCGTTTCTTTGTGACTTTGGAAGACACATCATAGATAATATTGCAGTAATATTTCCTGATGACCACAAAGACAATATGTTTTATAATATCACACCAAATGATGTTGAATGCTTATAGAACATATGTATTGCCTTGAATATCTAACAGTTATGTTGTTTCTCCAAGTAATGGACATTGTGGCCTTCATTAACATGGCTTAATCAAGGGACATGTGTTAGGCAACAATAATAAAACTTTACTCTGTCATTCAAAAACTATTTTAACAAATACTTAAAATTATTGAGTACTCAGGTTTTTCCAAATAAAAGACTAGCCTCCTAGTGTCCTAAATACTGTGCCCTCTATTATATTCTCCATCATGGCTATACCCTCTTTACTTAACCACACAAACAAATGATGAATGGAGGGTATAAATAAATTCAATATACTAAGAAAATTATTCTCTCCATGTACAGACAGAAAAAATATATTTCTTAATAATGTATGAATGTAGCAGAAGCTGAGAATTAGCATCACTTCAAAATAAATAGCTTTACCTGCCCTACCTTAAAACAATGAGTCTCAACCTTTCTAATGCTAGAAAATTTTATTAACATGACTACTGTTGTGGTAATGAACAGACAAACATTTTCATTCATTCTTTCTAACTGTATATTTGTAATGTTATGAATTGTAATGTTATCATGTGATACTGAGGATATGTGATTTTCAACCCCTATGAAATGATCATTTTACCCCAAAAGGAGTTGCTACTAACAGTTTCTGACCATAAGC